CACTTTTGGTGACCATCGACAGGTCCTGAATGTGATGGTCAATTATTAGACCATAACTGGCTTCATTACCTGATTTCGTTCATTTACTTCCTGTGCAGAAGTGATTCCTTTCTCAGAGCCTCACTTATGCTGTGAAAGGCTTTGAACGAGTATCATGCAAGCGACAAGTGGGTATCACTGTTTTTATTTACATTCTATCACACTAGAATGATGATTGATGCGACAAATCTTGTGATTGTGTAATGGTTGAAGTACGCACAGATCACGGATTATGAATTAGGTATTAGGAATCACGAACTCCACGGAAGCACCGAATCACATTGGCACTTGCACATAACGAGACGCAAGAAAAGGGCCACAGGAGCATCAGTTCATTTATTGGAAGAAATCAAGGGGGTGAAATAACGTGTACAAAAGGAGTTCATTGGTTATATAAGCATCTACCAATCGCGTGTTTGTATTCCTGGTATCGTACAGCTTTTGTTTGAGCCGCACGGCCTCTGATTGGTCGGCACGATCGGCTTATGGTTCGTTGTCCCGAAGCTGTGACGCGTAGGCACTTTGATGGCGTCATTTGGGAAGCTTGACTCATCACAGTTGTCTGAAAACTGTAACACGTTGCCCCGTGGTTTATGGCATCCTGTAAACTGGGATCACCACAGATTGACTGTGTTATACAAGAAGTAGTGAGATCTTTGTTACAGATGCAATTTTATCTTTAAATTGTATCAGTCTCCTTTTCGTTTTACACAGGTCTTTCCGAAGTCCCGCTTAAAAGTTGTTGGGTGCACTTTGCCACTTGGTAAACAGTCGTAAAAGGCAAATCATGATTTGAAGCAAGGCGGGAAGGGATGCGCATCTAATTGTTCGAAACAACGTTTGCTTCTTGTGAAACGTTTGTTCCCATGAGTCTTCGCAATTTCACAAAATTCAACGCTCATAATTCCTACCCATTACCGTCGACCTCAGCTTGTATTAAACAGTCCATGGTATCGGTCACAAAGTCTATTCCTCCATTTGACGGCATGAACATACTTCGCGCCACAGTGTTTAACTTGATTTGTGGCTCACACCAACACTGAGCCTTTTGAGACCATCAATTAGTCAACTAAGTCTTCCCTAATTGAGGCAAGAATCAGATCATGCTCGTTGGATTTGACAAAAACAGGATCTGTACAAGTTATACATGTCTGACAATTCCCCACATATTCTCATAGTATTATTGACTGAGCATAAAAGTAGATCAATCAGTTTGGAATGCAGTCGCCTACCGGGATACTGACAGTCTTAATTGTCTTTGCCAAATTTGTCACAGGAACAGGTACAGTCTGGATGAGCATTATGACTGCCGTCGTTCCCGATCTGAATTGTGTGCATGACTCCGTTGTTAGTCGGGTCGCGTTGAGACTACATGCCACCAGAACCGGAATTAATATGGGATTAACAGATATGTTATGCGTCGTGATTAGAACGCTTTACATTTTCTGTAGTCATAATTTTCCACAAGCATAATCAATCATCTTCACTGAGACACTATTGACAATCTGCTCGCTCGCTAGTGTCACCGTTTCGATAATCCTAATGTGACTGTGGTGCTTTTCCATGAATACCTATCTGCGTTGCTTATTTAAGTTGCGTTTGCACTCATCTAAACCACAGCTTAGTACTGGGGCCTTTTATCTTCTCTCAAATATTTTTCATAAATTCTCCAGACTAAACTAAGTTAAGTGCACTTGTGAATCCATTTATCTAGGTCAAACGAAGAGGCTATAACCTCCAATCGTCATATGATTTGAGCCATGCTGGCTCAGACACAAGTTAGTTGCGTGGCTATGTCGAGCTCCATTGTTGCTCATTTGGTAGAATTTGGACACTTTGTTGACACGCCTCGTCCCACCTCACTCCTAGAGAGCAATCAGGTTTTCGTACGTATTCAACTGCCGGGGTGATTACAGTCCATTACATGACGGTTGAGTTGAAACATATCTTCCTCCCGTGGATTGTCCGCGAATATGCAAACAATGACATTCATCAATTGACATGTCACTCTGCGCGTTCTACACGTGAAGCCGCTGCTNTTACCTTGCCCACCCAATATATTCAGCTCTGGACAGGTTAACTCTATGACTGTCAGAATGGTGCTACTACACTACAAAAACGCATTTGGCAATCTTGATTGAATACTGTTGCTCGATCTGATTAACAAAAGTGGTGTTAATCCCAACGTTTGTAGACAAATCCACGATTACTACATGGGTCAAAATCATTTCGTGTGCTTGAACGGCAAGAANCAAGAAATTTTCCCTCTCCCGGTTGCTTCTGGTGTTCACTTTGCAGTGAAAACGTTCCCATTCCTTCTCAAATAATTCGCCGTAAATAGGCCAATGATGTTGTTTTAAGATGCGAACCACTCAGAAATTCAGAAAGCTATCATATCTCACTGTGATTAATATTTTCTGTTCCCCACAAGTTGGTTGGTAGTTTTGTGGATGCAGCAGCCTAGCCAACCGGTTTTACTCCTCTCCGGTGTGTTGAACCAATACTTTCGCTTACTCATGACATCGCCAGGGCCACAGTTACGGACTCTGTCATGGACAGACATCTCCAAGCATATGAACATTTTATTGCCAAAATACCCTCAAACACTCTTCATAACGAGATTTTAATAGTTGTATCCACATTATACACACGCTCTAGTTCAAACTCTTATTTGCACGTAACTATTCATATCATAATTCTGTTCTACCATTCTTTTACGTTCTGTTCACTAGTTGATAGGGAGCAAGTTTCCACAGAATGACCCTGTGGCTTGTTTCAATGACAAAATCGATATCTAATATGTTTCATTTAATTTTACCTTGTTTTTATTCGTACACTTTCCATTTGGTCTGAATGAGTTTCACATGTGGAGTACACATGTGAATAGCCGTAGTAATTTTACACACATGCTGCACGCGAAAAAGATTATCAAACAAGCACAACAGGGACAGTAAAGCATCAGCCCATGTCAATTATTTATTCAAACGGAGATAAGCTACTTGAACTACTTGTCCGCATCACCTTATTCAATTGCTTCGTGCGATCTGTTTATTCCTCAAATTTTTAATGGTCACACCAAGCCCGTATACGGCAGAATAACTGGGCATCTGCGGTAGACCCACCAATTACTAGTATTGGTGTGAAGCAAATTAATACGGACCAGTTCAGATTGTCCATAAGTCTCTTCAGAGCAAACCAAACGTTCTTATTCTTGTTCAAATAAGACTTGGTTGAAAGAATGTTTAATGGAGTACTTTTCGATATTTAGGATAGAACTGGCACTCTTATAAATTGTTGATGGTGTGAATAGGACCTGGCTTGTGAAGCTTTGCTCATCAGCATACAGAGAGAGGACTTAATTAGGATTTAAATGATATACTCTGCTGACCGATTTCTTGATTATTTTTACAGCTTCAGGACTGCTCAAGTTTGTTTAAAAAGATCCTCGGTTTTTTCATCATTTCTTTCTTTGTGGTTGTTTGTATCAAAAGGAAGCGAACAGAATTATGAACGAAATTCGTCGTCATCAAACGGATACGGCCCAGCATTTATCATTTCTGGATCATCATCGAGACACAATTGTGGCATTGACTTCGGACGGTGGATCTGGGCCGCAGTACACACAACAGGTTAGTCTTCAGTTCTGCCTCCGTTTGTTGTCTCTCTCTCTCTATCTCTGTCACTAAGATCAAGTGATGTTCACCCACGTCACGAAAAAATAATTTGACCATGATACAGCTTTAAGTAGAAACACTGTCTTGAACATGTGCACCATCATAATGAGATGTCTAACCATGTGGCACGAAATTTCGCTATCTTTAGTGGACCCTTGCTATGAACGTTTGCCACGTACGAGTGAAAAATCAGCACTACTTCTTCAGCTGAGCCACACCAATCTTCGACGGATCACCTCTGCTGGTTGTATCTTTTTCTACGCAACTGGTGTTGCTCTAATTCAGCAGGTGTTGAACTCGGATTCATGCTTTTCCCGTGCATTGTGTCCAGGTCATTTTCATCCCCTTGAAACAATTTGAGAAGTTTTATCTCTTAGAGAAACCATGCGATTCACTTGAAGTGCAAACATAGCACTTGTAAATACGCAGCTTGAACAGTATTAGACAGCGGTTCCATCAATCAGACCAGCGGTTGTATCGCATCCATTGGAATTGGACCCGGAGCACGAGGGATGGGTATGGATCGTCAAGTTGATCATTTAATTTGCCTGATTGTCTCTCCTATTGTTCACTTCCATGTGAATGTTTGTACACAAATGAAGACAGAACACGAAACAGTTGAATCTGACTTTTGTGTTGACAAGGTTAATAAGGGAAACTGCGTGCAAGAAATAAACAATATGACTGATGTGGGAAATTGAGACTTAACGCAGTCCGGATATTGAGACTGATCCACTCGTCTGTAGTCTGAATATTGATCTGATTGCACATTTTAAAATGTTTTTGAGGAACAAGTGCCTTCAATTCAGTGGGTATTCGTGTAGAGGTACCAATTTGTTTTCATATTTCATTAGGTATGCTTATTTCAATCACTCTATCAGTAATCCTGGCGCTCCGGGGTGGGGCGAGAGTGAAAAGGAAACAGTCTAAGGTGAATGGTTGTGATTGGTGTGTGTATAATTATGAGACAGAATCAAGCAATCATGTAGAACCTGTTCTAAACTTTTCAAAAAAAATAGTATAAGTACTATTCCATCTAAGTCTCGCTTGCTTTTATTCTCGTTGATAGTTTTCATACTATTATAGGCGAGTTTAAACAGACGATCCAAATATATTCGACTTCCTACTGAAGCCTATGTACCAATTTCATTACCAAAAGGCAAGTTATGGTAACTATATTCTATATATAATGAACAGAAGTTTGAGGTATCGCACTACATACGTCATTCTTGACTGGCATGGTGGATTCACTTGATGTTGATGATGATGTGTGTGTGTGTATTCCCATCCAACATTACATACACTCCAGTTCTAGCCAAATTCTGCCTCTCGTGTCTATTTCTGTTGCACTCCATACCCACCGGTTCCCACGTAGATATTCCAAAATCGAATGCAACCATAAATCACAGACCCAGAAGTGGAAGATGAGCTCTTGCCATAAGGTCATCCCAGTCCAACTACTCACCCAACTCTTACTGCATTGTTATGTGCTTTTCACGCCCCCAGGCTCACATCCGAATACTGGACACGTTTGTCAAACCGATCTGGTCCATGATTGAACAGGCCAAAGCGTTGTGGAACGTGTTACAGGACTATGAGACATGGCTTACACACGAAGGACGTGATCACATGGTCCGCACAACCTGGCTGACACCGATCACTCGTGTGAGCATTATGACCAGTAAAGTGCTGTGGCTTTATCGATCATTAAGGCGTATTGCTCTGTCATAGAATGCCCGGTAACACATATGCAATCAGGAATCAATATATATAAGCTCATTGTCTGATAGATATCTTTACCGGGGGGCCAAAATTTACATTCCGATGTGTGTAGCGGGTGGTGATATTTAAGGTAAAAAAACGTCACAGAATGTCGTCATAATGTTGGTAAATGGTGCTCATTAGTGTCCTTTGTTCTCTATGGACTAATGACGAATTGTCGAAAGACGAAACATGGCAATGGGATACGAAAAACAACTTGCCACGGCGTGACGTAATGCAACATGCTCTTGTAAATAGGTGGAACACATTGCTATTCGGTCATAGTATGGTGAAATGAACAATACTCGAGAATATGAAATGGAATGATGGAACAGAGCACATTGAACAGCTGGGACTGTTCAACAGTGCCTATTATTGTTGACTGTTTGTTGTGATTTGAATCGCAAATCTTCTGCGTAAAGATTCGAAACTATGACCTCTGAAGTCACATGATCAATGGTAATCGAATTGAGAGCCTAACTTCATTATTCTAGTTTGAAAGTTCTTTGCCCAGTACATACAAATTCATAGAAAACCGGGTTTACGTATTGTTCTTCTGATGAAGCACTTGCTCCTTTGAAGTCTGGTCAATCCTCATATGTACAAAAGCTAATGTGTTTATTATGTATGCTGCACATCATGCTATGGCATGCAATATAATGTACAATGTACTTTGTATTTGAATGCGTTTATTATATAATATATATATTTATATTATATGGCGTAAATTAGTGACGAATTCTTTTGTATGAAACATGCCAACTTTAATTAATGTGATTAAAAATCAGAAAACATACATTGGCAAACAAGCTCTTTGTCAGTGTCATTTTCATGCCATTACAAAAAAATATATACGACCAGTAACAAATAAGAATTTATGAGGGACAAGGGAAAGTAAATGAAGTATCCAACAGTGTGTATCATAATTGGTCCCCAATTATCATTTGCTGGGATGTTTCATGAAGGGTGACTTGTTGGTTATCCGGCCATAAGAGCTTGAGTGCTTGCACAAATTGTTTTCAGCGCGCAGAGGGGTTGTAAAAGCCGATACGAACTGTCTCCGCTGTGGTTAAAATGCGAACCTGCATGTGTCTAAACCATCCAGTGTTAACTCTATGTAAGGGTCGGGACGCTTCGGCCTATGTGATTAAATTGAATAGAGAAGTCAGTAAAGGGTTTGGACAGTGGACCCATGTTTCTGACTTCTCTATTCAGATTTATGACAGGAAAACAGTGTGTTCAGATATGAATACTGTCGACAAGTTGCGACACGACCGCACCTGTGATTAACTTAATTACTCTACTTCTCGAGCAGACAGATTGGTGCTCACAAATGCGATCGGAGAGACACCTGGTTTTGAGGACAATCAAACTTTGTTCCATAGGAGCAAGTGAAAGAGTAAATACAGGAAGAGGCAGCAGAATCGAGCACTCTATCCTTCAACCGGTTATCAACGGGTTAGATGTGAAACGGGTTTGGAGCTTGAATGCATCGAACGTATTGTTGATGGTATTTGATAGCCAGCAATGCACAACCTTTACCAAGGTGTCGCCATTGAATGGTAAAGACTATTTCTCAGCACTGAGCTTGGGAAACGCCTTGTGTCATTGCATCCCAGATCCCACCGGACGCTCCGGATATCCATTCTTGATGAAGGTATTCCGCGCATTTCGGAATTCACCAATCACCACATCTCTTTGGACTGAAATATATGAACGAGCTAGGAAAGATAATCTCGTTTAATTTGCGACCTGGACCAAATGACTCCCTAGTATCAATTAATCGAATAGTGACTAACATTGTCTTCTGCAATGAGTAAAGAATAAAACGTGGAGCGAAGCCACTTAAGCCTCAAACGTAGAAATCACCAAGTGGACATGGATTCAAGTTTGTGGACGCGCTCGACCAGTTTGGTTGATAGTTCGTTGAAAACTATAATATATGTATAAATTTCCTGGGTATAGGTGAATGAAGGAAGTGACAAAAGACTATCGGATACAGTGGATTAGTGAGCGGTAAGAACAGCGAAACTGATCCTGTGCTCCCAATGAAATTTTCATATTCCATTTATTGCAAAATATATAAAATACCCCCGCCCGCAAAAATATATTTATCACTTGCTCCAAATGGTTCTGTGAGCAAGGTATTGGCCTCCAAGTCGCATTCTGCAACGCTCGATGAAATACATGAGACCTCCAAACAGAATAAGATAAACGTTGCATTAGGGCAGATGACGGCGATGACGGTGATAGGATTCAAACCTCGGATCTTAGGAACCGAAGTGAACTGGTCACAGTGATGCAAATCGCTTGCCTACCACTCAATCCACAACCTTCAGCATCATTATAATGATTATCATCCTGACGTTCTTCCTAAATTGACCGCTTCTGCATTTCTCACAGGTGGAAGAGATGGTTATCAATCAAGTCAGGGCGTATAAAGCATTCGTCTGGCAACAGGTTTCCTGTCTGCACACCCAGTTGCACAAATCTCTGGAACAGATGAGCGAGCAAGTGGAAACGTTCACTGAGGGGGAACGACCAGCAACTACCGTGCTCACACTCGTGTCCCCGTCTCGATAGAAAGATGCAACAACAACAACAACAACAACAACAACAACAACAACAACAACAACAACAACAACAACAACAACGGCGAACGTGAACGTACAGCCAATGATCTATTGGTAAGCAGTTTGTACTTATCGTTTTTAAAAGTCAATCGGGTTACTCCACGTAAATGTCATAGAGATTCGTTCTCGATTGTAACCCGTTGCTTATGAACAAAATTGTTCATATCCTGTCTCCTTACTACAAAACATTATATCGGATAGATAAATTTATCTAGAGATTTCTTATGATCCGAATAACACTGATGCTTTTTGAGTTGCACCGTGCCGATCTACCTTGTCGTCACTCTGGTAACGGGTGATCAAAATTAATTAGGATTGACTAGAAAAGAAGATGGTATCTCGAAATTTGTAGCCCAGGACAATCACTTACGTGTTGTAGGTGAAACTTATGTCTGGTCCGCCTACGGAACCTCTATACCGTTTGCAGTGAATTTAGCATCCATCACGTCTGTCTACGAATTTCATTCATTTTCCGTCTGTTTCTTGCCCGTGATAATAGGGAATAGAGTATTCAAGACACATCCAACTGATGATATTTGAGTTCATTGTGTGAATCAATGAAATGAAGGGGGGGGGCTTTTCTGAGAATATGCCCGACACGGTCTAATTGAACTAACTACTTTTCAACGGGGGTCGCATGATCTAACGGATGCCAACCTGGAGAGGGGAGGGAGGGAAGGAAGGAATATATGTCTTTACTTTCACCTATTACTTTAATTCCTCTTGCAGTTACTAGACGTGTGTGCAGACGAAAATATATTCCTGGTAGAACGTCTAACTAGTCCAACTTTGCGTTTACCGGGTTGAATCTTCTCGAGGCAGCTTTTGAATCGAACGTCTCGTTCTATTCTTCAGTAGTCGGTTCACTGTGTAAAGACTTTTCAGATGTATTCATTTCCACTGCGAACGCCGTGTGCCCTGGCATAGCGAATTTCGATTCTGAGCATCACCATGATCTGACTTCATGCAAATTTTTCAACTTCTGATCCCTGAAACCCGACTGCTTGGTCATCATTTCGGAGAGTTTTTGATACTCTCGCTGTGACCTGTTGTCCAGTCATTCACGAATGGCACTGTTGCTGTATGCAGCAAAAACTTACAGGTCACAAGTAAGGCTCGAGTCGGGTAGAGAGGTATCGATTCTTGCTGGTGCTAGCTGACCAAGTCCCCGTCCCTGCTTGGATAAACAGTGTTCTGCGGTTCGATCTAACGAGAGACTTGTGTGAAGTAACCACAAGTGGAATAACTATCGAAATCGTTAGAAATGTGCATACAGCGAGGGGCTTTATCAGTTACCAGAGATAACAGTCAAGAAGTTTGACCCCTCCCCCTGGGGTAGGCTACCCTATCAATTGTGAATCTGACATTAAACCGCCAGGTTTGGGCAAAACATTAAGTTCAAATACACATGTGTCTTCAAGATAATGACTATTTTCGATGTTTACGGAATGCTTCTTTCTCTGGTTCTACTTTGAGAACATATGCGTTCGCGACACGAAGAATTTTACTCCGGATTACTATCGTACAAACCCAATGTTTTATGGACGGAGGTCAAACAATCATGGTTGGAAATTCAACCTGTATTCCAGGGAGATAAAGCAGAATATTAGTTGTTTTAAACTTAGACATTTTCACAAACAACATATTTTCTTTTCTCTTCTTTGGTATTTTTCAGATCTACCCGACGAAACGTCCTCTTTAACAGGAACGTGTTGCTTCACTTAACTCCCGTCCACCTCCTCCTCCACTCACAAAGATGACATTCTCCCGAACTTTTCAAGAAATCTTTTCGCTTTTCCATGAAATACATAAAACAACAAAAACAGATGAATCCAACCTCTTCTCAAGTGTCTCGGTTTTTATTGTCCTTTCGACTTATTTTTCTGTTTGTTTGTTGCTTCGACTTTACACACACACACACACACTTACACACAAAGAATTCCTAGTTTTCTTCCTTTCGCCATCATCACTCAACTTTCTACAATCTAGAAACAATTACGCGTATGTTTTTTGTGCACGCTAGTAGCATGTAATTGTGAAGATGTATTCCACAAAATAGATTGTTTCTTTTGTGGTGCCATCTATCAACGTTTGTGAATCTTCTTCGATAATCGACAAGTATATAATCACCGGCAAGCATGATGCTAAAGAAATTGCTCCCAAATTGGCGCGCTAATTTGTTCTGCCATAGTTAGATTCCGGATTGGGAAAATGTAGCTTGTGAGACAAAGATAAAATCATCATGCATACATTCACTAAAATACAGAAAAAGGGTTTCAACTTCAGTAAGCTTGGAGCCAAGTATTTAGACGTAAATTCGTAAATTCAAAACGGTAG